TCTTGGCTCAGGAAAGGAACGGCTACCAAAAGCTGAAAGGGCTCGTCGGAAAAGATAGAAACCGAAGGTACTTTTTTAAATCTACACCGATTTAGGGGGATTTTGAAGTTTTGGGCTTTGGTTTCGGATTCTCGTTGTTGAGGGCTTTCGAAGGGGTAGTGTGTAGGTCTCCGACCACCATGGGTGGTGGCCGGAGTGATTTTTGGCACGGCAGCTGGTGGCAGAGGGCCCCGTCGGAGGGGGATCAACCTTTGACTGGAGAGGGATTGGTTGAGAGGTTTTATCAGGTGGGGAAGATAAAATTTTGTGGGAAATGGTTAAAATGAAATGGGAATTCATTTTTTTGGGTATTTATATACCAGGAACCTCTATGTAATTAGAGGATTTTTAAATCCTTTTCGTCGTTCCTGCTACTTTGATATGTAATTCCTTTTGGTCACATATTTCAATTTTGCCTTAGAATTTTTGATTTATTCACTTTAATCCTTTTTATATTTTTTGTATTTTTCAAATTAACCCCCCAATTTTTATTTTTTCTCTTGCAGTTCTTCTTTTAGCATCAATTTGATCCATAAAATTTTGATTGGTTACAATTTGATCCTTTAATGTTTTTTTATAACTTTTAATTTTAATATGTTTTGTTTCATTTTTATTTATTCCTTTCTATAAAAACATTGTATATATATATATATATATTTATTTTATACTATTTTATTTTATTATTTTCAAGATTGAACATTTTCTGTATTTTGTTTTATTATTTTTCTTAATTTTTTTTTATTTTCCCAATTTTTTATTTATTTATTTTTTTCTTTATCTCTCTCTTCGATTTATTTAATATTTATCTTTTAATCTAACATTTTTTTTTTACTTTTTAAGGATAATTTTAACTAATCAAAGATAAGTAATTTGAATCGAGTATTTAAATTTTAATTTCAATTTTCGCAATTAAGACAATCGAAAAATTAAATGGTACCGAAAGGGCAGTTCAAGGGTGCTAATCATTCATTGACTGTAACCGACTCCCGAATCCAACATATTTATGGTAAAACGCAGATATGGTAAGATGGTGTCTGATCAACCTAAATATTATTTTTAAATGATCGGTGGCGACTCTAACATTTTTTTCAAGTCGAAGCTCAATTCCGGGCCCACTTGAAAGATGGTTGCAACAGAGGTTATCTACATCTTCTGATGGTCTTGCTTCTGCGGTCACCGGTACAACAATTGAGGAAGTAGGAACATCTACAGTTTTTCTAATAATTTGAATCATCTGATTACTAGAAGATTAATGAAGATCAACCATAACAACTACATCATCATCGTCATTGAGCACGATTGCTCCATATTTCAGTGGAGTCTCTGAAATGATGTGTCAATTTCTCAAACTTAAAACAGAAGCTCTGATTTTGTTTTTGATTTTCATCTTCATTTGCCCATGAGTTACATTTGCCTAACATCATGTTCACGGGACTCCTCTATGACATGAACTGAACCCAATCAACTTCAACAACTTGGCCATTTGGTTGGACGATTGCGAAAAACTTGTTTGCCATAGTTTCACAGAGAGATTGAATTTTGTTTGTTCAAAACAATTGCAGCAAATATCAAGACTTATGAAGATTCATCAGAAGTAAGCCAATTTCAAACAAATATGACCCCTGATTAATTACTATCCAACAACTCTCCAGTGAAATATCATCTCAATCTTCAATCTTTCAGCTACTTTTCAGAGGTCATTTAGTGCAGCAACAATGCACTATTTCAACTACTTTTCAAAGGTTATTTAATGCATAATTAAAGCAATTGTTCAGAAATTGGGTGAAAATAGTGCTACATTATCATTTTCTGCAACTTCTCAGTGATATATCAACTCAAATCAGAAAACTTTTCAGTGTTAAATTGTCACTTCAAATCATAAAAAAACATGTATTTTAATCAGGCCAAATTATTCACTGCTTCAGCTACTTTTCGGTGCTCAATTAATGCACCGTTTTAGCTACTTTTCATAGGTCATTTAATGCATAATTGAAGCAACTGTTAAGAAAATAGGTGAAAATAGTGTTGCATTATCATTTTCTACAACTTCTCAGCGATATATCAACTCAAATCAGAAAACTTTTCAATGTTGAATTGTCACTTCAAATCATAAAAATTGTGTATATTAACCAGGCCAAATTATTCATTGCTTTAACTACTTTTTGTGCTCAATTAATGCACCGTTTTAACTACTTTTTAGAGGTTATTTATTGTAGAAATAATGCACCATTTCAGATACTTTTTGGAGGCCATTTAATGCAGAATTAAAAAACTATTCATAAAATAAGTGCAAATAGTGTTGCATTATCATCTTCAGTAACTTCTCAATTATATATCAACTTAAATCAGAAAACTTTTCAGTGTTGAATTTTCACTTCAAATCATAAAAAGCGTGTATTTTAACCATGCCAAATTATTCACTGTTTCATCTACTTTTCAGAGCTCATTTATTGCAGCAATAATGCACCGTTTCAGCTACTTTTCAGGGGTCATTCAATGCATAATTCAAGTAATTGTTCATAAAACGGGTGAAATAATGGTACATTAACATCTTCAACAACTATTAATATGTGTGAGTTGAAAGCCATTTAACTCTAATATTGAAGCCAAAAAAAACTATAACACATTCAATCTTTCACTTCCAAAACTTGAGTTTTTTCGAACATGTCAACTCTTTGTGCTACTGTTTTTTACGGTTGTAAATCTACAACCATGTGTTTCCTAAAAAATATCCAACTACACGAGTTGAAGTCCAGTATAGAAACAAGAGTTCTACTCGGAAGTAGTAAAAGAGTGCCTTTCATATATTATAAATTTCTAGTATCATGCTCGAGGTTTCATCTAAGCGATGATATAGACCTTGCTGGCATGATTGAGACATATTTCTATTATTCTTTGTTTAATGTCGATTTGTTTGTAGAGTTCGAATATCTCGACCTTGCTCGTACCATTGAGGATGTTGTTGCTTCCAGCTCGAATATCCCACCGACTCAGACAAATGACCAAGAAAAAAACATAGATGATGGAGACCCAGAAGCATGGTTCCAATTCGTACGTGAACGGTAACAAAAAAAAGGGGGAATTGAAGAACTTAATCTAACTTCTGATGAGTCTACTGATTACGAAGATTAAAACTTCTTAATTAATAATGTTATGTTAATGATTTTATTTAATATTTATGGTGTTTGTAAGATTACTCCTATTTACGTCCTCATATTAATGTACTAAGTTTGTAGTTTTTCTTCTTCTTCTTTTCATCACAGTCTACCACATTTTAGAGAGCAAAAAAATATTGTAGAACTCGTCACCTCGAAGTGACGAGTTCCACGTATTTTTTTTTTAAATAAATTCACTTAATAATCTTAAAAAAATAATTTTTTAAAGGAACTATTAAAATGTTGGGTCCGAAATAAAAAATTATTACACTATAGAAAATATCGTAGATCCCAATAATTTCTAGAGTACCCTATTAGGTCAAATAATCCATCCGCCAGCCGCATTGGGCTAAAAAAACCTAGGTTGTCTACATAATTCTTTCAACCCACCTTGTAGCAGCACCGGGGTTATAATCGTGTATAGTAGTCCTCTAAGGTCACCGTTTGCACGATCTTGTTGAGCTGACCCTCAAACGATTCAATGTCGGTAACGTGAATCACTTCTTAATTGCTACCACCAAATGGACTCAGCTTACCAACTGTCTTCGTCTTTGCATCCGTCAGAACCACTTCTTAAAGATTCCTTCCATTCTCTAAATGAGGTCATAGTTACTCGATGACTATCCTCTATTTCATACAAGTTAACTAAATCCTAGACGATTGTTATCCACTCCTTGGGATCCTTTCCCGTAAACAAGGGAAGTTCGATGTTGATTGGTTTTAAAGGAAAAGAAAGTCCCTCGTTGACATCTTCCTTGACCCTTGCTCTCGCTCTCGCTCTCGCTCGAGGCGCCACTACCTCTCCCATTCCATCATTCTCGAGGTGACTTTTCAACGATTACCCGAGCTTTGTCGAGATGTTCATTAACCGGTGAATCACATCCTAAAATTATTTCTCAGTCATTTGCTAAGCTTCTGTTCTTCGGTGTTGGCTTTGATGGAGTTCAATAACTGCTCGTGACGAACGATTATTTTTTTATAGGCCTTTGATCATTTTCGAGTTGTTTACTACATCTCAATATTTTTCTCTCAATGAGAGTAAAATGAATCTAGAAGAAAGAAGATATATCATGTAAACTATATTTTATTAAAATTTTTAAATCAAATTAATCTACATGCAACTTGCTGAAAATTTTCACTCTAAATCTCATGTAAATGAGTCTAGTCAAATAAGTCAAACATATCATATAATTGGTAAAAACTTTTATTTAGGAATTTAAATAATATATTTCTTGAATAGTTCGAGGTGACTATATAATATTTGTTAATTATTGACGACACATAAATTTTTTATATATATAATTGCTAAAATCATAAATCTTTATAATATTAAATTCTTATACATGTATTTTTTTGAATTAATCACTAATATCTTATCTATTAACCAACTAATCCAGATCGTGTATTACATATGTGAGGATAACTCTCTCAATTATGTTTACTCCATTCACAAAAGCCAAGGTTTAAACCATTGATCATATTTAAGGGATCTAATGTCTCATCCCACTAAATCAATTAATTATGATTATAATTAAAAAAAAATTAAATATATATTACCCATCTTAATCCTCCCAAACTATTTAAAAAATATACTTTTAAAAAATAAAATTATTGAACCAAATTTCTTGTGATTTTCCCGGATTGCCTGTTTAATTATTTAAAAAGAGAAAAAAATTTACAGCATGAGAGCCTGAAAAGATTAAAAAAAACTGTCCTTTCACGGAAAGGAATTGGATTATTTTTCCAATTAAAACCTGGGCTTTGAAGTCCGAATGAAGAACAGCAGCAAATCAGAACAGCCGAAGGAAGACAAAATCCTCCCTTTGTTTACTCCATTACTCTCGCTCGCTGCCTCTGTTTATCATTTTTCCTCCATTTTTTTTAAAAAACACCTGTATTCCAATTATTCCGATATAGTTGAATCCTTTTCGATTCTTCATCCACCCAAATTCAATCATTTTCAAATTTTCTAATTATAGTCTTTGATGGCTGCTCTTTACTCAACTTCCACTTGCCTATATGGTAGTTTGGCTTCGTACCCGTTTAATAAGTCCGTAAAAATTGGTCGTGTCAAAGTTAGAGATCCTGGGTATTATTTTCCTCCACGTTTTCAGTGTTCTAAGCCTAAATTGCATGTCCAAGGTATTTTTAGTTTCTTTTGGGTTGGGTTAAAAGCCTATTTTTTTTAATTCATAATCAATTTTGCTTTGATATCACATGATTAGCTTTGTTTTTGGACTACAATGCTAGGGGTAATCGTGGTTATTTTAAGTAATGTGAATTTTATTTTTATAGTTGTTGCTGTAGTTTGTGGAACATTCAATTTTGGAAAATGTTAATTTTCAATATGATCCAAGTGGGAAGTGTTATTAGCTAAATTTGGAAATATGGGAAAAATGGATCAGGGATTTTCAAGCTTAATTAAGAAAGCTGTAAAGGATTTAAAGTAGTTGTCTTGTTATCTAGAAAGTTGGAGAATAAGAGTTTTAAAACTTATTTGCTTACCTTATTTTATTAAGGAATGAAAGTTACCGAGAAAATGGCCAGTGTTATTTGGTTAGTTGTTTGAAACGTTGAGGGATTGTTGTTTCATACATCACCAGTGGAGTTTTAAAACTCCACAAATGTGGCATTGTGGACTCTTCATGTACAAATAATTGGTTTTGTGTTAGGTAGACTATTTTAGAATTATTGAAGGTCATATAACTTTACTTTCTCATTTTTATATGATTGTTTCCGGGATAGGTAGAACACATATGATTATCTTCAGAACCGTATATGTCTTCTCTTTCATAGAGAATTTGCCTGCTGTTGTTGTTTTCTTTGAATGATGAGTTGACCGATGCCATTTTCAGGGCAATTTGTATCCTAGAAAATTGTTAAATTTAGATGGAAAAGAGGATTATCAGAAACGAAGTTCACATAACGTGGGATAGCTTGTTGGTGTTATGCATCATCAAGTCTTTCAAAGAGGGACCAAAGTGATACATATTAAATAAAGCACGTCTTGAATACCTTAGAATAGAACAAACTTATAAACAAGTCCTCTGTTGAATTTAACCATGCTTCCGTTAACTTTATTGGATGAGAGAGAAAAAAGATATCTTGGACTATGAATGAAGAAAATTCGTGCCCACTACATTCTTAATATGTATGCCCTGATTTGATCTTTAAGCTCGTTAATAAAACGCATTTTGCAAAAAAGCATTGAGTAAATGGAAGTTGAATGAAGTAAACGAGTAACCATATATGTCAAGCTTGTGGTTAATTGTCATTAAATCCTAAAATTCAAGCTGCTAAAAATCTTAGTGTTTGATGTTCTCTTTAATTTAATACTTTGAAGCATCAATACATATCCAATTAAATGTGAATGTGGCAATAGGGTGATTCTGTAAAAGGATGGGATAGGATAAAATGCCTTAGTTAATAATCATGCTTTTGTTTCATTAACCTAGAATTGTTTACTAAATGCTACAGTATTGTATGATCTTCATAGATTAATTTTCGTAAATATTTATTGTCAGTTGATTATGAAATCCATTTTATGCTCAAATGTCTCTTACCAGTTGGTAAGATAACTCATGAAATCATTGTTTCGTTGCATTAACCTTTAATTATTTACTAAATGCTAAAGTATTATATGATCATCATAGGTTAGTTTTCATGAATATCCGCTGTCAGTTGGTTATACTCTTCATTTTGTCCCTCTTCTTCTCTTTCAGGGATCACCATGAAATCTTAACTGATAAAGTTTGGAAATTGCTTTTCTAATAGAATGAATTGATTATAAAAGAAATATTGTTGATAACTGAAAGAAATCAAATCAAGCCGTTCATCGTTTCCATGGGTGACCCTTTCATTCTATTAATAATAATACTGGGAGGGCATTATAATTTGCAGTGTCTTGATGCATATTTTTTTCCTATAGAAAATCTAGCTATGTCAGGGGTGTCTCGACTCTGGTAGTAATGATTGAATGGCACACACTAAAGTTTAGCCTTGACCAAACTCTTCAACATAGAAATAGAGCTGGACTAATGATAACGGTATTAAACTTTATTTTTTTATTAATGTAATCGTAATTTTCTTTTTGACCTGCGGTATGCTATTACTGTATAAATTTTTCCGTATGTCTCACTTTCCAAAGCTAATCATTATCTTTTCCATGTTTATTTTAGGAAAAGCCCTTCCTGTTGATGGATTACCTGAAATAAAGGACTCTTCTCTAGTGGTTTGTTTTGGGGAAATGCTGATAGATTTTGTCCCAACTATCAGTGGGCTTTCATTGGCAGATGCTCCTGCATTTAAAAAGGCTCCTGGAGGTGCACCTGCTAATGTTGCTGTTGGAATAGCTCGTCTTGGTGGCTCATCGGCTTTTATTATTGGGAAGGTACCATTTTAACTGTATTTTCATTTTTGTTTGTTATTCAGGTTATAAAAATTCTGATGGTTCTCAGTTCTGTCTGTTGGATTTTCAGTTCTATAAACTTACATTTTCTTAGTTCCGTATCAAAATTTCTTTCGTATTAACATCGCCTTTTTAATAATACCTTTCGTGTTATGAATTTTGGCTGCTCTAACTTGATTAAAGTTTCTTTTTTAAGTTATTCTATATTTCTAATCAAGTTAGCCCCCTTTTACCAATTGGTTTTAGGTTGGATGCTTAATATAATTTATTAAAAAAACATTTTTTCAACCACAATTTTGATATCATATTAAGCATCCAACCTAAAACCAATTTGTAAAAGGGGGCTAACTTGAATAGAAATATAGAATAACTTAAAACGAGGCCTATTTTCCTTTCAAGTATATATATATATATATATATATATTCTCAGATTTGATGTATTATATGGTGTGGACAGGTTGGTGAGGATGAATTTGGATACATGCTTGCTAACATATTAAAGGAGAATAATGTCAACAGTGAAGGGATGCGTTTTGATCCAGGTGCACGAACTGCTTTAGCATTTGTAACACTAAGGAGTGATGGGGAACGTGAGTTCATGTTTTATCGTAATCCTAGTGCTGATATGTTGCTCCAGGAAAACGAACTTGATTTTGATTTGGTTACGAAGGTATGATGCCTCTATAACTGTTAATTAAATAACAGTAAAAACACAATGACGATATATATGCAAACAAACAGTACCAATGATCCTCAAGATATAAAAGTTATAGAGTGAGAAATTGCATATATAATGCTGTTTGGCGTTATGGAGTGACTTTCATGCTGTTTTCGTTTTCATTAATTCAAATAAACAACCATTCAAAAGGACAATCGGATTTGAACCTTTTTGTTATGATAGATCCGTTGAGAAGCTTTTTATGCAAAAAGATTGGATTATATAACAAATTGACCCCTATTGAATTAGGCGATAATCAAGTAATCCCCTGAGTGAAATTTTGACTTATCTGAGCCCTTATTTGATAATTTTTGATCAAATAAGCCCCTGAAACTTGATTATAGAATTTTCAAATAATGACTCAGTTGAGATGTTTAGCCAATTTTAGGGGTTATTTGATTGCAAATTTTCAAATAAGGGCTCAGTTGAGATAACATTTCACTCGAGAGACTTATTTGATTATCACCTAATGCAACGGGCCAATTTGTTATAGAAGCAAAAAATATTTTCATTGCAAAAAGTACTCCGGGTGTCAATACCTTTGCATCTTCCTTTAATTTTCCTTATCATTTTTTTAACTTTAGTATTCATCATGTTGAGCCCTTATATTTGTTTTTTAGGCGCTGCACTGGAAGATGTTGGTTCCTGTATAATTGCTGTATAGTTCCCATTGTTTTTACTTTTCAACAATTTTGTTTCCTTTGTAAATGTTCTGTTTTATGTGGGTTGAATTATATATTTCCATCTTTTTGTCAGGCAACAATATTTCATTATGGTTCAATAAGTCTTATTACCGAACCATGCAAGTCAGCTCACATTGCTGCAGCAAAAGCTGCAAAGGATGCCGGTGTTGTTCTGTCCTATGATCCCAACCTTAGGCTTCCGTTGTGGCCCTCTGCAGAGAGTGCCCGGAAAGGAATTATGAGCATTTGGGATACTGCCGATATTATCAAGGTAATGATCTTATAAAGCAGTGTGATGCACAAAGTAAAAGGGAAGGGAAGTACTGTATCTATATCAATGATCTCAATTAATGTGTGAATTTCAGGTAAGCGAAGATGAGATTTCTTTCCTAACACAAGGGGAAGATCCATATGATGATGCTGTTGTTCGTATGTTATTCCACCCAAATCTGAAATTGCTTCTAGTTACGGAGGGCCCACATGGTTGTCGTTATTACACTCAGGTAAGATCTTTAGATATGTTTCAATGGCATTTTTTCCCTTCCTGCATGCAAGTTATTTGGATGTATGGATTCTTCAGAACAGTGATGTCTGGAATTGCCCCTTTAGATGGAAGATGAAAATAGGGCAAGTTTTGTCAGTTTGAGCCGACAAAGGCTCTCCCCTAGGCATAGGGCAACCAAAACATAACCCCAATCGAAGGCTGATTTTACATGCTTTGATATTTTTAGTATGATGTTTCGGTGTCTTGGAGCTTTGAGCACAATGAAAATGAGTTTGATGATCAAGCACTCATCTGATAATTTGATCTCTTACAAAAAGATCTAGTCATTTGTTAACAACTATGGTCTCAATTAGTACTTTTTCTTTATACTGGGGAGGCAATTGTTGGATTGTGCATGTGTAGCCAATGAAGGCATTGATTTTTGGAGGAAACAAGGGCTTAAAGGGGTTGTATTTAAAGTGGATTTCAGCAGAGCATATGACACTGTGGATTGGCAGATTCTTCTAAGGCTAATGAAAGAGATGGGTTTTGGTGAGAGGTGGTGTTCCTGGATCTTTCAGTGTATTTCTACAGCTTCAATATCGGCTTTAGTGAACGGGTCACCTACAGAAGAGTTTCTTATTGCTAAAGGCTTAAGACAAGGTTGTAGTCTTTCTCCACTTTTGTTTAATGTGGTTGGTGAATTGCTTCATATGATGTTGATTAAAGCTGTTGAATCGGGTCTATTTCAACGGTTTTCATTTGGCAAGACACAAAATTCCTTTACTTTGTCTCATCTCCATTTTGCAGATGATTTAATTATTTTCTGTCGAGCTTCCATTACTCAGATTAAAAATGTCAGAAGAGTTTTGAGGATTTATAGCCTAATGACGGGGCTACATCTTAATTTAGCTAAAAAAAACTTCATGGTATTAATGTGGAGAATGATATCTTAGAAGATTGAGCTACGACTATTGGCTGCTCTATTGGTTCCTTTCCGACGGTCTATTTAGGCCTTCTTTTAGGGGTAAAAAAGAATTCGGAGAAATTGTGGGAGCCGGTCATTGAGAGCTTCAATAAGAAATTGGTAGGGTGGAAAGCTTATTCTTTATCTATGGCTGGTAGTTTGGTGCTTATTAAGTCAGTACTGTCATCCTTACCTATCTTCTACCTATCTATTTTCAAGATGCCTTCAATTATTAGTCAGAGGTTAAATTCTTTGATTGCGAATTTTTTGTGGGGCGAAAGAGTTGAGAAGAAGAGAATGCATTGGGTGAGTTGGAAACAGATTTGTAATCCGACGAGTGGTGAAGGTCTGGGAGTTGTTGATTTGAAAATTACCAATCGAGCTTTGTTGGGAAAGTGGGTTTGGAAGTTTGCAAATGAAAAAAATTCGATGTGGAAGAAATTCTTATGTAGCAAACATAATGTTAGTCGTCATTCCATGGATATCAACAAGGTACTCATAAGGACTCTTGGATTTGGAGAGGAATTGTGAATAACTTCATGAAGGAGGATTTCATTGGAGGTTGCCTTAGATCTCACGCAAAGTTACAAGTAGGTAATGACAAATCAATCTCCTTTTGGAATGATATTTGGGCAGTGTTTTAAAAAGCGCGCCTGAGGTGCTTTGAGGCGCTAGGCGAGGCGTTTAGAAGAAAGCCTTCGACCACCAAGGCGGCGGCGAGTACATGAGGCGGCGATTTAGTCGTCTGAGGCGGCTAGAGGCGACGAGGCGATGCTTTTAGTGATTCACGTACAATGACCCATTTCACATACAATTATTTGCTTAGTAAAAAGGGCACTGCAACAGAAAGATCAACAGCCCTATCCCTGATTAGATGTAGGAGAAACCTTAACAGAAACGACGAGAATAGGCGAAATGAAAAGTTGTACGAGAAAGAGAAGAACAGGAGAGAAGAAGAGGAGGCACTCTTTGAACGATATTGCCGATTGAGAAAAACCCTAGGGTTTCAATATAAGTTGACTATTTATAGTGTGACCTTGAAGGCCACGATTCTTTATTTCACACGTGGACGACCTGATTAACATTGACGGTCATGGGAAGTTAAAAATTGGGGCTGAAATTTTGAACTCTTTTTTAATGGGTCTCTTTTTAGTTTTATGGGCTTTTTTAGAATATGGATACTAAACTCACTTGTTTTATTCCGTTTTGAATTAAATCTAATTAAATAATAAAAATATACTAAATTTGATTGATGAAGACGATGAAGAGATAGAACAGGATAATAGACTTTCCGAAGATGATGGGGAGGAGGAGGTGTTTGGGATTGATGTTGATGATGATGATGATGAGTTTTAGGCATTTTGATTATTGAGTTTTTAATTTGTCTTTTTGAGATACAATATGACATATGCTACTTGGTGTTTTTGTTTATTAAGTTAATTATTAAGTTGTTTTGAGTTTGAGGTATGGTTATAAAATATTTACATATGTTTTGTAAAATTAAGTGCCTCGCGTACGTGAATCCCTCGCCTCAAAGCGCCTAAAAAAATTGAGGCTCTCGGGTAGCTAATCGCCTTGGAGCGCCTCGCGCCTTTTAAAACACATTATTTGGCTTGGGGATTTTCCTTTGAAACTTCTTTTCCCTAGGATTTTTGCCCTTTTATCAAATCAATGGGGCAATGTGGCTGATTTTGGAAGCTTTGATTCGAATGGATGGGAGTGGAATATTAGGAGTAGGAGGAATCTTTGTGATTAGAAAGTGGTTCAATTAGTAGAGTTATTGGATAGGCTTAAAGACATTAAATTAATTGATTCAATGGAGGATTGTTTGTTGTGGGATGGAATGGGTGAGGGGCTGTTTTCAGTAAAAGCATGCAGAAAGTCTTTTTCTTCTTTTAAGGAGGAAACATTTCTATGGAACAAGTTGGTTTGGTTGGGTTTAGTTCCTCCTAGAGTGGAGACATTCCTTTGGCAAGTATCCCATCAAAAAGTAGCCGTGAGAGTGGAATCGAAGAAAAGGGGATTACTATAGAGGAGGACATTCTCTGCCCTTTCTGTAATCAATGTGAAGAATCAACTCAACATCTATTTATTTCTTGCCATGTTTCGTGGGAATTGTGGAACAAACTAATAGGTTTTTGGGGTATTCTGCTAGCTCTACCTCCTGATCCTCCTTCCATTCTCAGCTCATGGTCTGATTTGAGGCCTAATTCTGTTATTTGAAAGTTTATTTCGAGGCAGTTTTATGGTCAGTATGGAAGATAAGAAATGAAGTCATCTTTGAAAAAGGAAAGTTGGATAGATTTTCACTGATTTTCATCGTTCGTTTCAGGTTAGCTAAATGGTTCCTAGCAAAGTAACCCCTACTCTTTATTCAGGTGGATTTGTTAATTGGTGATCCCTCCTTGGCAGATAATATTTATGCTTTTAAGGAATTGAACAGGCCTGAGTTATGTTGGAGTCCTCCTCCAGTTGATTTTTTAAGATGAATGTCGATGGGGCTCTTAGTAGTGTTGGGATGATTGCGGGAATAAGGGGTATTCTCAGAGATTGGAATCGGACTACTCTTACTACCTTCAAGAGATCATTGTGAGGTGGATTTCTAGGTGTTGTAATTGTGAGGCTGATAAGCTAGCAAAGGAGGGGATTGGGTGAATGTAAACTTTGTTTTAGTTGGTATGTATGTTTTAAAGGTGTAATAGGAGTGTGTTTAAGTCTTATGTAATTGGTAAGAGTGTATTTAAGTCTTATGTAATCGGTTCTTCATCAATATATTGAGGTGCTCTTTTCCTCCTTCCGTTAGTCGGTTCTTGCCTTAGGGTAAAGGACTACTAAGAGGGAGGTTTTTAATGAGGCTTCCTATTTCTATAAAAAAAAATAGTACTTGGTCCAACATTTTCCAGAATCTGGTATGTGAATCTTAAAAGGCACCGATAACTGTAATGAGAAATGGATCACATTTTCCAGGAATTCAGTGGGAGAGTGAAGGGCTTGATGGTAGAAGCTGTAGACACCACTGGTGCCGGGGATGCTTTCGTAGCTGGAACATTATCACAACTTGCTTCTGACCTTTCCTTGCTTCAGGTTTTTCCCTTCTAAGTAGCAACACTTAAATTTAACCTGCTTATCCTAATGATCTTTTTTAATCTCTCTTTCTCTCAACCATTTGAACTCTGAATTTCCACCAGCAGTACCGATTTTTTGTCTTAGGTTAAATCCAAATTCGGTAAATGTGGTACGAAATATTAAATCAAGTCGAAGGAAAATGTTGAATCTTGCAGGATGAGGGTCGATTGAGGGATGCTCTATGGTTTTCTAACGTTTGCGGTGCATTGACCGTGACAGAAAGAGGTGCGATTCCTGCCTTGCCGACTAGAGAAGCTGTTATCGATGCTATTCTCAAAATTGTAGCATAAGTTTTTCTTCCCATACTGTAATAAAGGCGACTTCCAAGTTCCTATCGGCAACCAGGACTAGATCGGAATGAAGTTAATGAAACGATCCGCATATGACCTACTAATATTCTACCATCACGTTTACCTTCATCCGTGAACTTGTAAGCTGTTCCATTCTTGTGTATGATAATGGAAAGCATCTTGATTTTGTATTCTGTTTCCTAGTAGGCGTATGTATTATATGCAACTTAAATTGGTTTAGTGAATGGATTCTGCTATCTGTTGTCGAGGATAGAGGAAATTCCTTTAATCTAAATCAGGATTATGTTCATATAAATACACACAGATTTTGATAATAAATATTCAAAATATCTATATTTATCTACTTTAAATATATAATAAAATAATAACTTTAACATTCAATTTCACCCCCAAAACGAATTGAGTATGTGAATAGCCAACGGTTGGATATATTAGTTTTATTGACTGGGTCTCTTGGTTAAAATTAGTCTTTCCAGAGTACATTACCATAATTACCTATGAACCACATATATGTCTTGCCTTAGTGTCAGTAAAACAGTTGGATGATTATTACAGGTGATTCGTTCGTAATGCAACATCCTTTCTTTTAAGAACACCCTCCAGTTTTTCAACATATCTTGGAAATTCATTTGAAAAAAAGTAGAAAATAAATGGATGACAGAGGGAAGGCTATTTCGATCGCAGCGTTTCGACAAGAACAGGGATGGCAGAATCTCCGCATCGGAGCTGGGGGAAGCGTTGCAGACACTTGGCAGCGTAACCGAGGAAGAAGTTATGTCGATGATGTCGGAGATCGACACCGACGGGGACGGTTACATTTCGTATCTGGAGTACATCGATTTTGCAACTGCCAACCGCAGCCTCTTGAAAGATCTGTCTAAAATATTCTAGCTCTTTCCTTCTCAAGGTTTGGCTTGTTGAGAGATTTAACTCTCTAAACTAACTGCACGTCTTATTTTATTCCATTGGTAGAACTTGTTGGTAGTTAAATTGTGAACCGTCTATTTATAATTTTCTTGCATGAGTAGGCTTACTATTTCTAATGAATGAGCTACAGATTTATAAACCGTTATTTTTAGACAATAAAATGTAAGCATTTATATTAATGTAACTTGTATGGGTCCTAATAACATACAAGTGATTTGGACCAATCTATATTTATTATGATGTTCACCTAAGAAGATTAATATCATTATTTTATTTATTATGATTATGAATATAGTTAAATATTTAACTTGTAGAGCATCCTCATAATGAATTTCTGCAAAATTCGATCTGGATTAATCGGTCAATAGATCGGAGTGATTATCGGGCATGACTGGAAATCATGTCGGCTCTGCCCACGCAGGTTAGAATCCTGCCGCTCACCTTTTTTTTTATTAATGCTTACAGGTAATTCTGTTTTGGCTTTTGTTTCTTTAGTCTTTTGGTTCTTCAGCTTCATTTCTCATGCAATTACTTTTGACCTTATCCACCATATATCATTAATATAGACGCGGTACTAATAATTTAATTTAAATTATATTTTAACTTTTTTATATTGTATGAGTGAAAAATATTTTATATAAAATATATATTTATTAGAATTTAATTTAAATTATTATAAATTACTATTTATTTAAATGTTCATTGCAATAAAGAAGAAGAGACAGAACATCTTCTTATCATACAGTTAGTGTATTCAAAATAATTCATTTAAAAAATTTCATCTTCTTATCATCAATTTAAAGTTTATTTATAATAGAAGCCATTGACTCATTTAGAAATAATAAGAGAAAGTTATCGTAACTATAAATGATCTACTTTCAAGTGAAGTCTTATCCTATATAAGGACATTAGCCTATAAAACGACATATTGGGGTGTTTGGCAAACAACAGCTAAATGATAGCTGGTAGTTGATTTGACCAACTGATTTAATTAGTTAATTTGAGAAACTGATTTGATTAACTATTTATATAGAAGAGTTTGGTAAAATTTAGTTGATAGATGATAGCTTATATGTGTAAAATGACAAATAAGAGTATGATACATTTAGTTGTTAAGTACATATATGTGTTATAATACTTTATTTTTATTAGAGTAAAATTATTTGGATAAGATGATTTTGATAAGGAATTAAAAATTCATTAAGAAAATTAATGAATATTTTTTGAAAATTTTGAATATATTTTTTAAATTTAATATTTACAAATATTAACCTTATGAGATTGATACATAATATTAATTTCGTATTAAATATCAACACTACAATTTTTTTTTACTTTTTTGTTTTTCTATATTTTCTTATCTAAAATATATTTGAGAATCTATAACTAAAAAATAGAATAATAAAATAAAATTTCAACTTAAATATATTAGGATGAAGACTATTTCATTATATTAGGTTTTACGGTAAGGATGTAATTATGGAAAAAATAAGGTTAATATGTCATTTAACATTTTATTTTGTAATCAACTCTTTCAAGCCGCTGAATTTTCCAGCGTTTTCGTTTCCAGCTTATTTTGCACAATAAGTTTTTCAAAAAGGTATTTATCAAACCCTAAAAATAAAGGGTTTAACTACCAATAAGTTATTTATGCTCAAATAAGCTAAAAATTCTTCAAAAAATTGTTTGCCAAACACCCTCTTTGTGTTGTTGAGAGATTATTTTTCGAGAGTTTTAATTTTTAAATGATGTAATTTCAATTCAGTCGAGTTATTTTTTTATATTTTTAAATAATTTGTTTTTATTTCTTTTATATTAATTTTAAGTTTTTTTATTTTATTTTATTATAATGAAATGACTTTGTTTCATGATTTTTTATATTATTCAACGAAATTTTAAAGTCCTGTTTACTAAATGTTTTTTAAAAAGTTAATTCTCAAGCATATAAAAATAATTAATATTTTTTTGAATAAAATATAGATGCTATTACAAAATGAAAAACATGAGTTAGAGAAGCTTGAAGAGACCCCTTATAAAATAGTTGATGTGATATTTAGGGTGCTTAATAAGATGAGCAGTTGGAACTTGATTCGGTCAAATTTCAATAAAAACTCGACTGGAAACCTAAACGAATTGAGTTGGGCAAAGTTCAACTCGACTCGATAAGTTCACGAGCAACTTGTAATTTTTTTTTTTTATAATTTTTTACAAGTTATCTTAAAAATTATTTCATTAAAAAATTACTAATTTACTAATAGATGATAAATGATTAATCTGTTAGTTTTCTAATAAATAATAAAAAATATTAAATTGTTAATTATTAATTATTATTTTACTACACCTAAAAATTAAATCTGAATTATTATTTTAATGTATTTTGTTATTGTTATTTTGGAGTTTATACTTGCAATTTGTTTCATGCACTCTTATGCTAATTTTTTTGGTTAATTTTATCAATTTATGTTTATATTAAGCTCTACATAGTATTAGTATATTTTACCTATAGTTGAAAAATAAGATAAAAATTTTGGTGAGCTTAACAAGAAACGAAACGAGCAACGAGGCGAGTATTGAGCTTAACAAGCACAAGTCGAGCAACAAGGTTTTTTAACGAGCACGAATCGAGCAAAATTTTAACGAGCTTAACGAGTAACGAGTCGAATCGAGCAACAAAATTTTTAACGAGCATGAGTCGAGCACTGTCCAACTCGCGATTGGCTCGCTCGATAAGCACCTCGAGTGATACTGATATATAATAGTAAGTTATTAGACTAAAATTTGTAATTGTCCACTATTTGTGAGTACTATAAATGGGTGCGGATATATGTGCAAGTATACACAATCGAACAAGTAATACAGTGATAAATTGAGTATCGTCTCCACAGGGAATTGAGGAAATTAAATAAGTTTGACAAGACACTTTACTTTGTCACCTTAGTGATGTTATATACAAATGAGAATGTTGTGGCAAAATGGAATGATTGATGTGGAAATAGAATAGTGGTAGTGTGGTAGCAAATGAATATGTCGTGGCAAATCAAATTGTGATGCGTGCAAATAACTGGAAATGTCAAGGCAACGTAAAATGTAAATACTAGATTTAAAATGTAGGACTTTAGCTTTCTCACACGACAAGCTGCTATGGGAATGAGTGATAGGAGTCACTGGGAAAATCTAAGTCTATTTCTCCGAATGGTATTTCTTCTATGCCTATCCTGCCCGACAGAGTCTACTAAGGTTCCCTATGCTATCTCTAGTAAGGGAATCGATAGATTAAAGATGCCCTGGCAAAACCGATTGGCGTAAACCTCTGCAATGATCTTATTAGTCCAGATAACAGGATATGTCTCGACAATACCTTTTTGCGGCAGCAATAACATCTAACCTATAGTTCTTGCACAACTCCTCTTAGTCGAATGAAATCCTAACCTTTTTTCTAAGGTGGATTAGGCCTAGTTACTACCCAGAACCCCTTGTTTATGTAGTTCATCCCTAGTTTCTCTAGAATACTAAGGATATTTTGCCAAGGTATTCTCTCAAACCCTAAAAACCTCTTAAGGAAAAGCTACTCTCGTAGCTCCTACAACCTTAAGGCATTAAGTTTCATAAACAAAACAGATTAAAACATAGAAAAGTAACCATTTATTGAAATAAAAACTTAAACATCCAAGCGAACTCCCACCAAATAGGATTAGTTCATGGTGGGGTTCGAAATAAACAAGCACAAAGTAAGTTTCATTCGTTCCTTACAACCCAATAAAAAAATATGAAAGAAAAGAACTAAGGGGAGGAGAGAAAGCCTTGGACGTGCACTTCCAGATGCTTCCCTCGGCCACCAAGAACTGCCCCCCAGCGAACTAACTCCTCTCGGACACTTAGAACGCCACTCCCTCAAGCTTGTCAAGGAGAAATGCCACGGCAAGTAGGATTGACTGAGAAAAGTGAGACATTCTCTCTCTAACTTTTTAAGCTCAAATCCGGGTGGAACTAAAGTCTTCTTCATTATGGCTTCATCCTTTATTTATAGGGGAAAAATTAATTCTAGGACTTGGTGTTGACTTTCCTAGGAAATCCCAAAACCATGGTTAAGTTGCTTGGGAGTCGGGCAGAGCAGGCTATGATACAACCTGGGTTGCTGGCTGAGTGACCGGCATGATCCCATTGCAGGCGCCCAAGGACAGACAAGATCTGCAGGGATAGGAGGCGTCATCAGCATGACCGGCAGTAGCAGCACCGATCCCTCCAGGCGGATCTTTGAGGCAGATTTCTCGGGCAGAGATCTCGAAGAGTAGGAGACAGTTGGCTTAAAAATATCTTCTCGCA